ACAAACTCCCCCAACGCCAGTCCTTGATGTGCAGACGACGTTCTCGGCTTTTATCAACACTTTCACCCTGAACATCGACACCGGTACCCTCAGGGCACTACTCCCCCAGAGTTCGGAGAACGTCACTCCCCCCACCTCCTTTGTCGCCCCCATTTGACACCCCGATCATGAACATCGACAACGTCAAAGGGGGTCCAGTCCCGAGACAAAGCTACCAACCGCAACGACAAGCCCCGCACTTTGGCCCTCGATAGGATTGGGGGGAGATCGTTGAGCGGTCCAATACTAGCTCAATAACAAGGCGCACAACAGGCCTTGCAACCAAGAGAGCAAGGGGTCGGTCTCATGAACGGAGGAAAGGGAGCCCCCTCGGGATAAAGGAAAAGGAATCCTTAACGCTGAGGATGCCTGACATCGAATCAACCAGGCTCATGCCATCGGATCCACCAAGTTTGCTTGATATGGTCTTGCCATTGAGACCAGAGGACCAATCATCTGGGTAGATTCTTGTCGGGTTGGTGACAGGATGATTATTACCCCTGGATCTCGGCGCCTTTGGTTCTGAAGAGTGATGTGTTGAGGAACATTTGGCCTTTGTATTAAAATGGATGGATTGGATGGGTTTTGGTCGCCAAAGGCTCTATTGATGGTTTGAGGGATAAAAGGCTCTGACGGGAGTGAGGTGTCGATCAACATCGATAAACTTTGAGTGACAGACTACTAACCCGTCAGTCCAGGTCAGACTCACAATGATTCTGGGAAGAAGTAGGCCGAAATGATGTGAATGGGTGTTGATTTAGAATGAGAGGTATGCATGGCAGTACATGATAGTTTGAGAGATTACCGTAGACTATGGGTCGCTGGTTAGTGAGATGCCTAAGGTCAAGGAGACGGCCTCTGTGGTGCTGGCAAGCGGTCCCGACATAGCCGGGACGAAGGCCACTTACAATCTGGTTGCTGCAGTCATATTGTCACGTCTTGGGTTGAGCCTTGAATTGGAAGGTATGGACACTAATGATTGGACTTGAGATCGCAACATGTCATTCCCTCACAGGATGAATGCGGTTCGCTGATCCATATCCCGTCGGATTTCCTCTTTCGCTACTTTGAGTTGTTCATGAAACTCCTTCATCAAGGAATTGCTAGTTCCCACCATGTTCTAATTTTCTCTTGCACGAGGCCCCATGGTCGGCGCCAAATTGTTTAAGCAACAATTTGATAAGCTAAATCTAACTTAAAAAGAAAATGATATGTAGATCGGGTCTCGTACAAGAACAAAAGGAAAGATGACAAGTGAGCAAACAAGAGTGTAATTCGGTGTTTGATTCGAATGGGTAGTCAGCTGATTACAATTGGATTCTCTCCTATTTATAGGAGATGTGATTAATACTCTCGGGATCATGTCATCTATTACTGACGGGTTGGCCTGACGACTTCGTCTGTTATGATGATGTCAAAACTGTCATAAAGTTTGGTCAACTACAATTAATATATTCCCTAATTACATTAAAAAGCCTAATAATGCATAAAAACGTTACAATAATTATCATTAAGACTTGTGAATGCATCATTAACTCCTGCGGTCAATGCTCTTAAATGCAACATAAACCGTCAAATTCTTACTTTAACGGTCACGATAAAAACCCGGTGTTTATATATATATTTGTGATAAAGACCAAAAATGACACTAAGATTTTTAGCGAATCTCGGATTAGACACTAACGTTTTAAGTAGACCAAATAAACACAAAATTATAGATTTTGGGTCCATCTATACCACCCTTTAACGCCTCTGTTACCCTTCCCCGTCGTTTACTCCCCATCATTCCAAAAGCCTTTGCCCCACCCTAGCCCCAGGTCCAACCCCTGCCATGCCCTTGCCATCTCCCCAGCTCCAGATCTGAGCAGCCAACCCCTGATCTGCACTCCCTAGATCGAACTCCGACCAGTCATCCCCAACCTCCCAAACCAACCCCCACCCGAGCCCCAGCCTCCTCGCAACCCCCCTCTCAGCCTCGTAGCCCTCGTCACCAGCCAAGCTGTCGGTGAGATGCTATAGATCGAACGGAGCACGGCTAGATCTAGATCTTTGCCACAGACGTAGAGATGAAACGACGGCACGGCAGAGCGGCGGCTTCGACAGCAAGGCAGAGCGGCGGCTTCGACAGCAAGGCAGAGCGGCGGCTTCGACGGCAAGGCAGAGCGGCGGCTTCGATGGCAAGGCAGAGCGGCGACGAGGTGGAGCGTCTTCGAGGCAGGACGATCGACCTCCATTGTTGCTTTCTCTCCCTAATTAATCTTGATCCTTGCCATTGTTGTCTGCTCCAAGGTAGCTTTAATTGGATAGGGGAGTTAACGGGGAAGGGGTGTTAATGGGGAAGGAGTTAAAGGGTGGTCAAAATGGACCCAAAAACTATAATTTTGTGTTTATTTGGTCTACTTAAAACGTTAGTCTCTAATTCGAGATTCGCTAAAAACCTTAGTGTCATTTTTTGTCTTTATCCCTATATATTTTTCTGCCAACTTCTTCTCCTTCTCCTCCTCCTCCTCCTCCTCCTCCTCATCCCCCCCCTCCTCCTCGTCCTCCGCCGCCTCCTCCGCCGCCTCCTCCGCCACCACCTCCTCCACCGCCTCCTCCACCGCCTCCTCCGTCTCCTCCTCCGCCTCCTCCGTCTCCTCCGCCTCCTCCTCCGCCTCCTCCTCCCCCCTCCTCCCCCGCCCCTCCACCCCCGCCCCTCCTCCCCCTCCCCCTCCTCACCCTCCTCCTGGCTCCTGCTCTTGCTACTGCTCCTGATGCTTCTTCTTTCTCTTCTTCCTCCTCCTCCTCCTCCTCCTCCTCCTCCTCCTCCTCCTCCTCTTCTTCCTTCTCCTTCTCCTTCTCCTCCTCCTCCTCCTCCTCCTCCTCCTCCTCCTCCTCTTCTCCTCCTCCTCCTCCTCTTCTCCTCCTCTTCTTCTTCCTCCTCTTCTCCTTCTCCTTCTCCTCCTCCTCCTCCTCCTTCTACTACTACTATATAAAGATGACATTTTCACATTGATAGTTGTGACATTTTCATAGGAAATTATGTAATCATCCTATAACAAATGACATCTTTATATGTTTAATATCATAAAACTGATATCATTTGACAAACAAGCCAAAAATAATATTGCCATATTTATAAATATAATGTCATAAAAATGGCATTCTTTTTAATAACAGGCATTCTCATATTAAGAAAGTGACATTTTCAAATACATATTAGTTATGATATTCTTATATTTGAAATTAATCATTTCTCTAACTGGTTGCTTCATAGAAATTTGACTCTTCATCTCAAATTTCAAAATCCAAAATTTTATTTAGAATTTTGAAAGTAATCAAATTAATAGACAAAACGAAAAAACAGAGAACCAGGTATAAGATGGACCAAGAAGAAGAAAGAAGTGATGGACTTGCCGATAGTGATGGCTTTGTCGGAGGATGGTGGCCGGTGATGGAGGTGGTGGACGAAGGATGGCAACAAATATGGTTCCTGGAGGATGGCTGCCGCATCGCTCTGGTTCCTGGAGGATGGAGGTGGTATGGACGAAGGATGGCAACAAAATATACTTGTATTATATACTACAATATGCCATGGAGGATGGCTGCCGCATCGCTCTCATTGACCCAATAGTCGAGGGACTGAAAATGGAAAAAACTCGATAAAATAATACCCAATCAATGACTAAAATGTGCAATCTTTTTTCATAGATTAACACTTATTTTATCTAATAAGATCATAATACTCTAAATAAGTCTAATAAAAATAAACTAATGTCATTCTCGTTGCTCTGAGACTCACCAATTGTTGCCATGTAGCCTACACGCAATCACTGTCAAATATTTTTCTCTACATTCTATAGTATAATTTAAAATATAAAAATGTATTTTATCCCGTGCATGACACGGGTAAAGATACTAGTACGACATATTCAAAATTATCAGATCACAAATGTTATGTCTCAATTTATTTCTTAGAAGTTGTTCTTTTGTATGTTTCTGATCTGAAATTTTTAAGTTCTGAACTAATATGATCTGAGTTTTTCTGTTCTGATGTGATCTGAATCTTTCTTATCTGATCTGAATCTTACTGATCTGGTCTGATCTGATCTGAATGTTTCTAATCTGATCTTAATCCTTCCGATCTGGTTTGAATCTTTCTGATCTGATCTGATTTGAATATTTCTATAATTATAATTATACTTATAGTTATAGTTATTATAACTATATATACAATTATAATTTTAATTATATGTTTAACTATAATTAATTATATAATTTAATATTGTAATTAAAATTATAATATTTATTTCTATAATTATTAACAATAATAATAATAATATTAATAATAAAAAATATAATTATAACTACATTTGTAATTATAATTATTATTTTTAATATTATGTTAGTAAGTACTCCGTATAATATAATAGTAATCATAATAATTAATATGATAATAAAATTAATAAATCATGTTTGAACTTATCTGATCTGAATGTTTTTTATTTGAATGTTTCTGATCTGGTCTAATCTGATCTGAATCTTTTTGATCTGATCTGAATGGTTCTGATCTGATCTGAATCTTTCTAATCTAATCTGAATGTTTCTGAGCTGGTCTGAATCTTTCTGATCTGATCTGAATAAAATAAGAATAAGACGAAGAGATCAACTTCTTACTCCTTATATTGAATGAGAAGAATGGCATTTTTATCTGTATCAAAAGATAAAAATATCAAATATGATGTTTGTACCAACTCTTATACCTACTTTTGTACTCACTCATGCTTGTGAAGATTGTTCTTTTTGTATGTGAAACCCGGTTCACAGACAATACTTTGCACATACAAAATAATACTTTGCACATACAAAATATTATCTGTGAACTAGGTTCATACACAAAAAATATTTCACAAACATGGTGGATATAAGGTGAGTATAAAAGTGAGTCCATCAACTAAAAATATGTGCATACATCTGTGTGTACGGATGATAGATTGATGTTTGTAATATTCATCATATATTTCCATGAACAGCCTCTAACCACGAGACTCTCACATTCCTCCACACATCCCATTTCTCCTTGGATCTCTGGGAGAAAGGACTCATCTTCGAACTTCAGAAGCAAATAAGACACTCTCTGGAAGTTAGCATATCATTCTCCCTCTCCATACCCAGCGTATTTGAGCGTGTAAGTCATCTTTCTACTTCTCTTGTTAAGCGTGTCTGGTAGTTGATTCTGATATGGAATTGTTTTTTTGGATATATGCATATCATAAAATTTTATTACCTATATGTTCATAGGTTGAACTTTAATTACTGTTGGGTGTTGTCAAATGCAGAAAAAACTGTGAATTGAAGGATATTGGTCAGAAATGGCGGGTGATATTGAAGAGCCTTTTAGGCTCAATTTCCATGTAAGAGTGCATGATATTTGTAAATATTTGTTCCGTTGCGACTAATTTTTGTTTAAGAAGTTTATAACTTTCTGGATCTCACATTTTTTTGCTCTATGGAGTGTGATCTGCTTTTCGTATAATTGAGTTCTTCTTTATTCACCCCTCCCCACCCCACCCCACCCCACCCCACCCTCTTTTCTCTTCTTTTTCAAGACAATGATTTGCTATATTTCCGTGGGGCACTCAAGAGTGGATCACTGATTTGGTATTCATTGATTCCTTTATATATGTCAACGTTTTCTTCTTCTTTGGTTATTATAAAGCAGTGGTTATCTCTTATTTGATTTATCTTGATGTGTTATTCTTGTTAGTATTATTTCAAAAGTGTTGAGCCATCCCAAATCAAGCAAACACATATACAATTTAACATATAAGACATGGGGTTTAATTTTAGTTCAAACGTTACAGGGGGAATCTCTTAGGTCCGGTTCCATATCATTTGGGCGGTTTGAAAACGAAGATTTGTGTTGGGAGAGGAGGTCGTCTTTCTCACACAATAGGTACCTCGAAGAGGTTGAGAAATATTCAAAGCCAGGCTCTGTTACTGAGAAGAAGGCAATTCTCGAGGCCCATTTTAAAAGGCGGGCAGCACTTTCAAGCCAAAGCTCTTCAGAGTCTCATAGCAGCAAGATTGAGTGCCAAACTAGTGGAAATGATCTATTTGAGGATAATGCCAATGAAGCGGTAGACATCAGAGTGACTGAGAGAGGGGGGTATGATGGGGATTTTGAACGGTTCAATGATTGTAGTTATTCCACACAGAGCCATGATGTTGAACCCGAACCGACAGGGTGTGAAAGTGAAGATCGTGGGCTTTATTATTATTGCAACAATGATGATTATGAAACTCATAGTAAACATGGTGATGATACTAGTGGGGTTGTTTGTGAACATTTTCAAGAAGAAGAGGATTGTAGTGCAGTTACTGGAAGAACAACAACAACAGTCAACTGTGATGATGAATCAATGCTTCTCACCAATGGGAATGTAAGAGCTGAAAATGTGACATCAAGCACAGTCAGCCTGGTTCCTGCTTCTTACGAAATTGAAAGTGAAATTGAAAAGTGTGCAAGCACCAGTTCAGAGTCACAACAACAAAGTATTTCCCCAAAGGTGTGTTGCATCTTTCATTCTCCTTTACTTTTTTAACTTTTAGTCCTTTTGTTACACGCAGTTGAACATTTCTACTTTAGTCCTCTGGCTAATGTTAGACTTTTGGCATCCTTCTGATTTTTATTTTTGGTCATTTGACTATTGTGGCAATGTCAAGGGCCGGCCCAGGCCAAGTGCCAGCAGTCCAACCGCACAGGGCCCGTAAATCCTGAAGGCCCAAAATCTTAATAGTCCTTATATTATTATGAACAATTATATAGCCCAAAACATAAAGCCCACACATGCTTCATTAGAAGTTCTGTAGCTTTCGATCTCTGGAGTATTTCTCACGCACGTAGATGTTGAACCAACTCAACCATCTGGTTGATGTTAACACACTTTCATATTTGTTTTTATATCATACAATTATTAAAACAACCCAAAGTCTTTAAGCCGGAATACTATCAACTAAAATTATGGATATCATGATATGGATTTTTAATCATAATATAACAATTTTTTAGTATTGCACGCTATTATTAAATTACTATTAGATATTTAAGAAATATTCATTACATTTATCAATTATATTTATAACTTTTTATATAAATATTACTTTAACATATTATCCATTTAATTCCAAACACATTTTAAATTTACGAATTTTATTTTGGGTAGTGATACATTAATTTTTAATTTAATCTTATAACCATTATTAAATTTTGCACAGGGCCCGTGTGTTCTTAGGACCGACCATGGCAATGTCACTTTTGATTCTCCAACCATGGTAAGGATCTATGTCACAATAGTTAGCAGTACATGAAAGGCAAAGTAATTAGAGGGCTAAAAGTAAAAAAAAATAGAAGACAGGCACCAAAAGAATCTACGTCACAATAATCAAAGGACAAATTAGTAAAATGCCAAGCCATTTATAAAAAATTGTCCCAGTCCTAAGGGTGGGGGGTACCATGCCCCGGTCTTAAAATCACCTCCTAAATGGAGGTGTGTGGTCCTATGGAAAAAGATACACAGTCTGGAGTTCTGTACTTCTGAGGGGAACGGATTTGTGGAGTGTCCTTCTCATGGACTAAATACTAATAGTTGATTTCCTGAATTAGCATACTCACCTTTTGAGAGCTCATTTGGGGTTGAATTAGGAAAATCTGAACATAACACATTCTTAACAATTTCTCTACTACTGAACTCAGCGGCTTCCCTATGTATGTGTAATGACTAGACTGGATTTTCAGTAATGTCTAGAATGGAATCTCAGTTGCTTAAGTGATTTTTTTTGCGCTTTGGTAAATTAAATCAATTTTTTTATGCTTATGTATCTGTTTTCATATCTGAATAAAAATAGGTGAACTCTGAATCACATTTGAAATCTGGAGCATCTTTACATAATGCTGTTAAGCATAGAGCAACGTTCCCGAAACAAGATGCCAAGGACCTTACAGGGAAACCTAGAAGGAAGAAATCTGACATTTTAGTCAGGGAGAAACCGGTTTTGCAATCAAGTGCTACTGCTACTAACTGTTCCATTTCAACAACACCAAATTATGAGGTTTCTTTCTAATTTCAGTAGCTAATAGTGCATCTCATTATGGCCTTTTTGTAGTTTCTACCCCCTTGTCTTTATGAGAGTGTAAGGAAACATTTTGGAACCATATATTACCAGGGAACGGAAAAAATGTGGAAATATTAAAGGAATTTTTGGTCATTAAATTTATTTTAGATATTTGTTCAAACTACTATTTGTATTATTTGTTTGCCTATTTTTTTTGTATTTATGCAAAGGTAAAATAGTAAATAGATATCAATATATAGGATTTAGAAAAAAACATAAATGCATTAATTTTTCCTTTGTATTTTTCAATTTAAAACAAAACAAGAAAATAAATATACTCATCTTTTATGAGGGGTCCAAACACACCCAAATCAATATTTGCACCACATTCTCCTTCAGTGAATACGTCAGATCCCATTGTTATCCCCCTTGTAATTTTTTTGTTGGTTTATCATGAACAGGACTCATTTAGTTCAAGAAGTAATATTTATGAAGAAAGTACAAGGTAAATTACTGTACTTTTTTAAAGAGTAAAGGGTCAGTTTGGTACTCGAACTTGTAAAAAAGGTGTCAAATAAGTCCTTATATAGAAGATTATGTCCGGATGTGCCATTTGAGGTGGCTCCCGGTGGAATTTTTTGATAAATTTTTTTTGAGCATCTTATTCATTAAATCTAGTTTACTCATTCAAATGAATTCTTGAAGATAACTACGCTTTTAACGGCACAATTATCTTCAAGAATTCATTTCAATGTCTTCCCGATTGAATTTTTATCTGAAATTTGATATCAGTAAACTAGACTTAATGAATAAGATGCTCAAAAAATTTCATCAAAAAATTCCACCGGGAGCCACCTCAAATGACACCTCCGGACAGAATCTTCTATATAAGGACTTATTTGACTCCTTTTTTGCAACTTCGAGGACCAAACTGACCCTTATCCCCTTTTTTAAAGAAAGATATTTATCTCTATATAAAATAACTGCTAATATAGGTTTCACGGATGATATTATATTTTCAATTTGTACGTTTGTAGCACTGAAAAGAAATATAGGACAAAAGAAAAGGTTGTCAATAATAGGTATCAAAGTCCAAGCAGGCCCAAGTGTGGTGAAAATAGTAAAAGTACACCAGGCATGAAGCAAAGCTGTTCTTCTTTCAGTTTTAAGAGTGAAGAACGTGCAGAGAAGAGAAAGGAGGCAAGTATTTCTGCTTCTATGGTTAGAATATTTTCCTAATAGCTTGTTTGGCTGGGGGATTTTGCAGATTGGAGGGAAAGTCGGATTATGTTTTGCTAGTTTCATCTTCCAATCCCCCAAACCAAACAAGGGTTAAGAGTTTTTAGAATAATTTTAACCAAGATGATTTGGAATTTGTTTCAGTTCCTAATAAAGCTAGAGGAGAAAATGAATGCTAAGGAAGCTGAAATGCATCAACTTCAAGCAAGAAGGCAGGTAATAATGTGTTTTTAACTTTTTACTCCCTGATGTCTTTGTTTACATAATTATTTCCCGTTTTAATTTGTTTTTTTATTTTATATCATGTATGAATGATTACAAATTGGTCTACATGCTTGATTCATGCAGGAAAAGTCTGAAGCAGAGATAAGAAGGTTGAGAAGAAGCCTAAATTTCAAAGCAACTCCCTTGCCTTCTTTTTACCATGAAGATGGGCAACATTCAAATAGAAATAAGGTATTTAAATTATGACACAATGTTAGCTTTCATATACCCTTGTTTCTAACTTTTAGGTATGTTTGGTCTATAACTTATCACTGTCAGTCTAATGCTTTATATGTGAGTTTGTAATTTTATACGTGGCTGGTGTGGGATGAGACAACACCTTAGCGGGTGGATGGAGAGTATGTAATCATATTTTCCTATGGTCAGTAAATCTATGCCTTTATATACGTTTGAGTTTTTGTGTGAACCGAAGATTAACATAATAAGTAGGTGATCAGATAACATTTCCATCTTATATTCATGTAAATACTCCCTGTGTCCCTTTTAAACTTTTATTTAGCCAAACTTGACTTTTCAAATCAATAATATTAAACTTTTAGATATTTATACACAGTAATATTGATAACATGAAAATCATATAAAAATGTTCTTTGTTCAAATATTATTATAAAAGTATAAATTTATTAAGTTTCGCATAAATATATTAGTTAAAATAGGGGATTGGAAAAGTCAAGTATGTCTAAATAAAAAGGGACGTAAGTAGTATGATTTTTTGTAGGAAGGACGCTTTTGGGACACTAAATAGGAAATTGGCTGGTCCACATAGATAATCCACATTCAAGATAAAATTCCAAATATGATACCTTGTGTGCAATAATGCTACGATTAAGAATATCACTTTACTTGATGAAGGAAACAGTGTTTTATTCTCACAGGTAAGATAAAACGTGCGAATCACTAATAAGAAACTTCAAAAGTCAAATTGTCGGTATACTCAAAAGGTCCAAAAGTAGTGTATTATCTACTTTACTCAACAACTTCTTTGTTTGATATGTGAATATCCTGCTCCAGATGTTGTATTAGTCCTGAAAGGTTTGTTTGGAACCGGGAGAAAAATAAAATAGAAGATACTTCAGGAACCCAAAATATAAGATAAAACTCTTATTTTTTAGATATTTGCTTATTATACTCACTTTAAAACCTAAGAATGTAAATATATTGTCCTTTGCACTTTCCATTTCAGAACATGGGCAATAGACCCAAACCAAGTATGCCGCGCAACAATCATTCACACCCAACTGACCTGAGCACTTCATTAGCTGCTGAAAACAGCACATCTACATCTGGGTCGACAAAAAACGGGGCCCACTTCACTCGTAAAGTTCTGAATGCTCCATCACCACAAGCCTCGACCAAACATCGCTCAACAATATCTTCTGATGGCAGCATGTCCTCTTCACAAGTCTGCATGGGTGACAGAAAAAGCCGCAAAATCAAAGTTGTAAAAGAGGATACTAAACGAGGTATCAACTCGCGCAGCAGTAACCGTAGATTCAATTGCCTTGCAGTTGGCGCAGCCTCCTAAAATGTGGTCATATCAAAAGCACTTTACATATATGCATGCATTCTCTCCTTTTATTAACAAAAAATGAAATTTTATCAATTAGTTGGTTGTTACTCTGTAATCTGTATGCACTCATGCGAACACCCACATATGTATATATATATGGAGCATGTAATTATGTGTAGTTTGAGAGATTTTGTTGTTGGGACATTGGCAAGATGTATTAAAATGCTGCACTAAAGAAATAAAAGGCCACTAAATTAGTGAGCATGCTTTACATTTGGTACAGTAATATTTATCCTGATTATATTTGACTCTGTTCTTTTTGAAGTTTGAACTATTATGGTTACTGTGACACCATCCCACGGTAAGAGGATGGCGACGGTAGAGGAAAATAATTTTTTTTTGTTCAGAATCAATACGATTGGGTGTAAATTTATTATCCTTATTATTGACGCTTTTGGAACAACAAAAAAGTTAAGCAAGGCATGTTGAAACTTTAAAGTGTTGCACTGTTGCTGTATCTGTCGCCTCTCTTATTTGTTGCCCCGCAGCCCTTGCTCGATTGTGAATTTGTGATGTTTGACCCAAGTTTTTTGTTTTTAATTTTGATAATATTAGCAAATAATCACATACTTTAACAGTAAAATAAAAAAAATCTACTCCATATCGAGAGTTTGAAACAAAAAAAAAAACGAATTTAAAAGATTTTTTTTCATTGTAGGACCTGATTGATATATAGGTTGTCTACCAAATACCAATTAAAGGGTCTGTAAACTGATAATTGTAAATATTGGGTATTTATTGTTGAATTCTAGCTACGGAGTACTCCGTATAACTTAAGAATCAAGTTTTTAATTTTCAAACAATTTTCATATTTTTAATTTGTTAAAATTTCTAAAAATTATGTGATGAAAAATTAATAAAAAATAAAAATATCTAAACTCTGATGCGCTAAGCCTTTGATTGATGTTCTTTACCACTAGAGCTATAAATTGATACTCTGAAATCCGTATGATTTATCCTTCAAATTCTAAATTGATATTGACGCATTTACTGAATCTCGAATAAAAGAATATCCAATTTAGTAATATCAGAATTAGGAATGATGATAATCAAGTAAGTTACTCGAGATCGACTCGGTCTTACTTGAGCGTAGCTCATCTCTATTCAAACTCAACTCAAACTCAATCAAGTCATTATGAGTGATAGTTGATATTTCACATTCATATATATGAGCAGTACATTATATATCCATAGCATGAATCTTTACATAGAAATTATACACATATTCTATTTAAAAATATATTAGAGATTCACACGATGCTCACTGTTTTAGACTATATTCTAAAAGTGTTATGCGCCTATGCGGACATTAGACATTCCTAGGTGACACTAAAGTAGAGGTAAGCAAGATTAGTCGAGCTTAAATAAATCATATCTGTATAAGCAAGAATTGGTCAGAGAATTTAAAAACACCAGTTTTGTGTTATTAAAATTAATGATGGTCGCACACATGCGTTTAAACGTGATACAAACTATTTATTTAAAAATATACAGAGTACTATGTATTTTTTTTGGAATGAATAAAACTCCAATACAACTCGAACTAGATTTGAACTTGAGCTCAACTTAATTCGACGGAACACGAATATAATTCAACTTTTCTTTATCAAACATGACTGAATGTGAGCTGAACCAGAACCGTCATCTATCTTTGCTTCGATTTCTTTCATATTGCGGTAGTCGTTGCAGAAATTATTTTCCATGAAAAATAAAGCGTTTAGCTAATTAATCATTAATAAACGTATCTTTTTTGGGTCATGTGGTCATCAATCAAACACTAATCACCGCACCAAAGTTTAACAATAGTACCTGCACATGGATAATCTTTCTTCATTGACTAGTAACCTTGTTTTTTTTGTACCTAAGTGGATTTAATATTATTACTTCCCAAAAGTGATTGGATCATATCAAATATTTAAATCCGCAAATCTTTGTACAAAGGAAAAAATAAATGTTCCACAACTCTGACAACTGTGACAAAGAGTAAAGGGAATGTGTTTCGTGATGGAGCAAATTGTTGTTTTTCTTGGTAATGAATGGGCATTGGTTTTGTCCTATCTTTAAGCTTGAGACTTCCGAGAGCTCCCGACAGTGATTTCCATCCATTCATGTAACAAGTATTTCTAGTCAAAAAAGGGTTCTTGATGAACACCTTTTTGGTACACACTCACATATGTGAGTTGTTCATGTACTCTGCCGGTTCTATTTTGTATAGACGATTCACCTATTCATTTACAAAGAGCCCGTTTGGTAGCACCAAAATCGGCTGTTTTGGCTGATTCTGTTGAAATTTATGATATTCTGGCTGGAGTGGCTGTTTTGGCTGATTCGGCTGATTTAAGAAAAAAATATTTTAAAAATATATTTTATTAATAAATTAAAGAAAAAATTATATGTAAAAATAGCTAAAATGGTCCTCTACAGTAACTTCAGCCAATACAGCCAGAAAAGTAACTCCAACCTTACTTTTTCGGCTTATTACACAATTTAGCGCGCGAAAGTAAAAGTTACGTGTTTGGTGAAAAAGCTGGCTGATAAGCCTGATAAGCCGAAAACAGAGTTCTCCAAACGGGCTCAAAGTATATTTGGCTGTGGCAAAAATGTGTACAAAAAAGGTGTACAAAAAATGTCTTCTAAATCATGCATAATCCCTGATTCGCAATGCACTTCTTTGAATCAAATTGAGGCTCTTGATTTGATTTTGTTCGTGACTTTGAGTCCTAATAAGAAAAATGAAGCATCGTTAAGTATTTTTTATACTATGTATGATTTTGGGGCTGGTTACGAAAACTTTCACACAATTTAAGCACAATACACTATACTCGGCAGTCGCCACCAAACATTATTATACTCCGTAAACATTGACTTGATTGGAAAATTCATTTGTTGCTTGCTCTCTTCTAGAATCAAGAACTCATATGACTCTTGTACCCTCACAATACAAAGACTCAATTTGACAATCTTAAATGAGAAATAGCAGTCAACCACCAATAATAACCTCACATTTAGACTCACCGGTTTCCGCCTTACATGTGAGTAGCTCCCCTCAAATAAAGCTTGTATCAAACCATATGAGCAGCCATCAAGGAATGGTCATGATCTCTTCCGCAACAAGAATTGATCCACTACACTTTTGCACCACTGCTATTTACCAATGGGACACGCCACCTAATCACCTCAGTATCCTGAAGACTTTCGATACAATGCACCAACAGTAGATCAAATCACAAGACCAAATCCCGTACACAATGTTCTCATGATGATCTCTTCTCAACCGACACTTGATTTGCAATTCATTTTGTACCACCGCTGTTTACCAACATGACACGCTGCCTGACCATCACAATACATGTTGCCTGACTATCACAAAATCAGGAAGACTTTCGGTACAACGCACCAACTAACAGATCAAGACAAGAGATCCAACTGAGAAACACCCACACAATGCATTCTAACACTTCGCTTCATATATGTTTGACCCAAACTATAAAGTGAAGCCCATCATATATACCATTAAAGAGTTTGATCTCAAATGCCTCCAACAACACTGCTATCATCACCGTAAGTAAGACGAGATCCATCCCCATGACGAACTCTACCCGCTTATCAATCTCCAACAACTTGGCACTGATACCGCTGTTGGAGAAAACACGACTCCCAACTTCTTCAAGGATCACGAGCTCATAGGACTCTTGTACGCTCACATCACAAAGACTCAATCTGACAATCTTACTTTGTATTATGATTCCCAATTGAAATGTACAGGAGAGATTTATAGGTAAACAGGTAGCTCACCTCACTCTTTGTATATGAGACTGCTTCACTCTCACACTACTCTGTCAAGGGGGCTCTCACTCACTCAAGAGCTCTTTTCAAGGCTCTCTTTCATCACTCAAGGAGGCTCTCCCATCCCAAGGAGAAATGAGGAGTGTCACTCTTATTTATATTTATCTTCTCAAGGTTCTCTAAAACTCTCTATACACTACTACACTTCTAGAATCTTTCAAAAAGTATATACAAACTTCTCTAATCTTTTGGAAGGATCTAGATAAATCCACATTTCTTTTAAGTGTTCTAGAGACTTTCACACATTTTCACATGGTTCTAGAGGATTCTACACTTCTCTAGAAAAATCTATAATGTTCTAGAATATCTACACTCTTCCCCACGCTTCTAGATAATTCCATGTCTCTCTAGAAATCTCTAGAATATTCTAGAACATTTAATATTTCTCTACACACGTCTAGAGAATTGTAGATATATCCCAGTATTGTAGAGTTCTCATTAACTTTTCAATTAAAGAGGAAACCTAACAGCTTGAGGAATTACGTTTTCTTAGACACCTCCACGGCTCCACTCACGGTGCCGTTAGTTTTAACCTAGGCCCAAGTACATAAGCCCACAACAATATTGAAATTTAGCAGGATTCTCTTCTTCTTAAACAAAAAGGAGCTAAAATGGCGTATCATATTTTCCATCTGGTCGGGCAGGTTGGCCAAGGGTTTATTACTCTGTTGCCTTTCTTCTTAGATGTTGGGTTAAGGTTTAAAGATTTTTTGCAGTAGATTTGTATATATCTGCTTCTCAAGTCTTTTGGGGGAAATTGCATTTTCGAGATCTCAAATAGTATTCACATTGAAATGTAATCTCTGTACTTTTGATTTTATAAATGTCACCTCTCAATTGTCCGAATTGTTGTAAATATGATCATTGCCATTAAATCTGAACTGACATCGTTAACATTTACTCCCTCCGTCCCATTTAAAGGTCCCCGTCCACTATTCTCCGGTCAACGTGAATTGTTCTTAATCTTTTACTTTATATATCCAACTTTTATCAAATTTAATTTTTCTTGATCAAGTATTACAAAACTTTTAATGTAGTTTCTGAATATGTAAATTTTATTTACTAAAAATAATCTTATTAATGATAGAGATCAATTAACTTTATGGTCAGTAAAACATCATAAACTGCGTGAGGATCTTTAAGTGGGACATAGGGAGTATAACTTTTGATATGAGTAGGTTATAACTTAAATTATAATGATGTAAAAGTTCATTTTATCGGTTGAAAAAATTACATCACAGAAAAAAATCGATTGAAAAAATCCAATTTTATAGGTAATAAATGTCCAACAAAGACAAAAATGTCTCCAAAATGACCAAAAAATTATACTCCCTCCGTCCCATTTTAAGGTTGTGACTTTCCTTGGTTGGACGTCTCACTTAAAGGTTCTCACTTTTC